GGGATCAGGATGAGATGAGTAAATCAGGGGGACGGAGGGGTCTAGGAGGTGGAGAGGACGCGGGCGCATCGCCTGTTCATCACCTCTTACGTACAAGGCCAGCCACGTGGATGACAGGTTGAGGGCTGGCTGCTCCCCCATCCCCGTGTGTCACACGGACCCACTTGCACGCAGCCAAAAGGCACAGAGGGAAAGAAAAGGAGGAGGCAACCAAACCTCACAGAGGCAAGAGAAAGAGAGAAAAGGGATCCAATCAAAGATCAAAGAAAGGACAAGGGAAGAGGAAGAGGAAGGGCTAGTATCCCTTTCTCTCTTTCTCTTCCCTTGTCAAACAAAGCAAAAAATGAGACATCCCACAGATAAACCAATTGCCACAGTCACAACAAAGTTCAACACTTTTAATTTTTTTTATCTTTTTTTCTTTTTTCTTTTCTTCAGCAATTTTTTTTTTTTTTCCTTTTAGTTTTAACATTTTTTTTCTTTCTTCTTTCTTCAACTCCGTATCTGTTGGTAGTGTCGAAAACTTTATCTGTCCTACAACAATTAGTGTTGCTCCTGACCTGCTTGATTCTATTGACCAGTCAGAAAGAAGAGCCCCCACCCCACCCCGGCAGATAGGACAGGCACGCTGAGGAGGATGAGGTGGATGCTCACAAGGATACCCAAGGAGAGATGCGCCAGAACAGCATTCAGCAGGACGGCTAGCACGGACCATCCCATCCCATCCCATCAAAACAGTCCTCACAAAGGACATGCTGTCCACATGTCATATACAACACAGTTCTGTGTGACGATATATGTATACATATATATAGCCTATATAGCCTCCTGATGAGTCGGTGAAAACTCCGACGAAACAGTTTGTGACAGCCCCTCGTTTGTTGTCCTCTTCTCCCTCTTCTCCCTCTCTGCCTACGGTTTTCCGTCGGCAGCTCTGATTGACGATAGATATATATATCGTCACAAACAGAACTGCCCGGTAAACCTATATATATATATATATATATTGTCACATTGGAAATATATATACATATGTATATATTATATACACGACATACATACAAATATATATAGGAGGAAAGCTCCAAGAAGAGGATAACGACATTGGAAATGGAATACAATGAACGAAACGACAAAATTTTCGGACACCTCAAGAAGCCCTCCACATAAACCCTAAACGGCAACTCAAACCGGAGAAGAAAGCAAAAAAAAAAAAAAAAAAAAGAAGGAAATAAAAGAATCCTCTTCATCTCATCTCTCTTCGCCTCACCGTTGCGAATAACATTATCCACCCGCACACTCAAATTCCGTCACCATCCCTCCTCCTCCCTCCTCCCTCCGTCCAACTCTCTCTCTCTCTCTCTCTCTCTCTCTCTCTCTCTCTCTCTCTCTCTCTCTCTCTCTCTCTCTCTCTCTCTCTCTCTCTCTCCGCACGTACTCGTGAATCCGCTCCAACCACGCCTTTCTTCCCTCGCTCGATCAGCCAAACCACCACCCACCCATCAAAACGTTTTCTCGAACGCGTTCACATGCTGACAAAGCTCTTACGAGAGGGAAGAACGCCTCTCTTCCCTCTCTCTCTCCATGCCCCCTCTCAGCGGCAGCTAAGGAGTAGTGAATCTTCATCCAGAAGAGTGCGGCAGAGTTGAACGTCACCATGAATTCCTTTCAGACCTTATCAACCTCCTCCATTATTAGCCCTTATTAGCCCCCCAAGGCACTCCTCGTCGAGTTCCTTGCAGCCCCCCATGGCACGAGTCTGGCAATCCTCGTCTCCACTGCTTCCTCGCCTCGCCGCCTCCTCGCCGCCGCCGATTACCCGGTTCCCCCGATTAGAGCGCCCGGTCATTATCGCTGTATCTAGACTGAAAATTGCCCCAAACACAGCTATATAATGACCATGAGTTCTATTCGAGGGAAGACGGTAGGATGCAGGAGTCGTCGTCGAGTGCTTCGCTCGCGTGTGCCTTCCTCTAAAATTCACCCTATTAAGTACTATTCCCATGCTTCTCTCATCCTTTCAGCAGAAAAATCCACAGACGTCAATCTCAAGACCATGTCTACACACTCCTTACCTCCTCTTCCACCTCCTCCACCACATCATCCTTCTCCGGATAATCATTCTCCCACACTACAGTAG